CCAGTTGCCTCTTGAAAGAAAACATCTTTGGAACAGGGAAGAAAAAATAAGTGTGTGTGTGTGTGTGTGTGTGTGTGTGTGTGTGTGTGTGTGAGAGAGAGAGAGAGAGAGAGAGAGAGAGAGAGAGAGAGAGAGAGAGAGAGAGAGAGAGAGAGAGAGAGGAAGACAACTTTGGAAAAGAGGTCCCCTTCACCCCCCATACACGGTGACGTTTTGCATCTCCAGTTCAGCTACCGGCCATTCAGGTTGAAGGATCAATCATGGTTTATCTTGACTTTTGTCTTCCTAGGGTATCCCAGGGCCCCAAGGACCTCCTGGCCCCCCGGTAGGTATTTCAAATCACGATTTGGGGCTTTTGTTGTGTTTGTCTTAAAAAGAAAAGCCAAGCAATCGATGCTGGCCCGACCTTCTCTGCATCTGGGCTGTGGGACCTGGACGCAAGCGATGTTCTTTCTTGACAAACTCAAGTTTTCCACCTTGACCTCTTCCCCGTCCCTGCTAGCCATCCGCAGCCATCCATAGCCAAGAATTTGCTCTTGATTTCACTTGCTTAATGCGTCTTCCAACTTTGTCTCTTATCTTTGCAGGGCCCTCCAGGAATTCAAGCTGCATTGGTAAGTTTTCTGAATCCTCATTGGCCTTAGAGTTCTGCAAGTTTGGGAAGCTTGTTGAAACCCCCCCCCCCAAAAAAAAATACCAATGAAGGACAATCTTTGTAGCTCAGGGTTGAAATGAGGGGTCCTTGGTGCTCGCTGAGCTTGGTGGTTTTCTTGCAGACGTTTCATTACCCACACTAGGTAACATCATCAGTGCTAGTAGGGAGTGGGGCTTGCAGGGAGGAGGAAGAGGAGGAGGACTGGGGGGGGTCTCTGGTGCTCTCTGAGCTTGGTTGCTTTCTTGCAGATGTTTCATTACTTAATTAGGTAATGTCATCAGTGTTTGAAGGGACTGGGGTATGGGGAGGAGGAGGAGGAGGAAGAAGAAGAAGAAGAAGAAGGAGAGGAGGAGGAGAATGATGACTGTTGGGTCCTTGGTGCTGTTTGAGCTTGGTGGTTTTCTTGCAGACGTTTCATGACCCAAACTAGGTAACTTCATCAGTGCAAGAAGGAAGTGGGGTTTACAGGGAGGAGGAGGAGGAGGTGGAGGAGGAGGTGGAGGAGGAGGTGGAGGAGGA